TTCACCCTTTCAGCTTCTCCTGGACTGCTTTACCTCCACCTGGCTGATCGTTCCATTTTGTTGTTGGATTCTTAAATGATACAAAATCTGTTATTTTTCCTTATTTTCCATGAAATACACTCTTACTTTTCTTTCCATAAAATATCATTGTAGCAACATGGGGTTGAAAATACCCACTTGAACCCCAACAAAGCCATCTTGCAACTTAAGCTGAAGTCTTCTCAGATCCTAGTAATATGTGCAGATGAAATATACTTCGCTATAATAAATCAGTCTAAAAGCAGATTAGAAATACGGAGCCAAGAAAATGCCTATTTCTCTTTCCCTCTCTAATGCTCTGGAAGCAATCTATTTCAGAATGAGCAGATGTAAAGACCGTGGGCAAGTGCTGCAGAAGGTGATGAAATAGAAAAAGGTTTTGAACTTATTTTTAAAAATATCTGTCCTTCAGGCTCAATTGTACTTTCAGCATTAACTCAGGTTTGCAGTAGACTACTTTCAAAAGCAAATTGTGTGAGTCATGAATTGTCTTTTTTCATTTCCATGTATAGGACTCATCAAAGATTTGTGGTCTTTGTGAAATGCTCATGGCTATTCGGAGAAGGGACAATATTTTATATGCATCAGGCATCCTAGGAGGGAAACCCTAAATCTATTCAAACAAGTACGTAGCTAAAAGCGCTGGAATGACAATTAAAGATATCTGGCTTCCAGATCTGATTCCGTGGTTAACTCTAAGTGGTATTTTAAAGAGTCTTCCCTAGGTCTCAGATTTCTTAATTGAGGCTAGTGGATTACATGAGGGATTTCAATGTCTTCTTTTAGAGTGAATTCTAGTTGCAGCTCCTCAGAAATGGTGTGTGTCCGTGTCCATGCGAATGTGTGTGTAGGTGTGAGTGCAGGTACGTTGGACATCACGTCTGTGACAGACAAAGTGTACAGTGTCTTGTGAGCAGGAAGGCTGAGAGTTCTCTTTGAATTGCAGGAAGGAGGGGGTGCAGTCTCTAAAGCAGCTTCAAGACCCACTGGTTTGTAGATTCTTGTAGTTTCTACGAGTCTGTGACTTCAACCAAACCGCTAACCGTGCTCTACACTGGAGGAAATAACTCTAATACGAAGGATGCTTCCTTAGAGAATGGGTAGACTTTCAAACTTGCAAATGACTCCAGCTCTAGCAACTGTAGTTATTCCGGAAATTCTCGTTTTTGTTAGCAAGCAACAAAACAACAAAAAAGCTCACAGTTTTTGTTTAGGATTCCCCTTACAGCGACCCTATCGCATAGAGTCGAACTGATCCTGTGGGTCTCTAACACTTGTAACTCCTTGCACTCAGAGTGCCTCTGAATCGGGAGTCCCCACGAGTGGGCATGGGCATCCACTCAATGGCACTGTGTTTGACCTTGGCTAGATGCTAGATAGGAGGTCCCAAGGGCAAGTTTGCCTTGAGGACTTCAATCAATTCTTCAAGGAAACCAGGAGAAGAGGGATGCGTCACACTTTCTTAAAACAAATTGTGCTTACTGTACCTCTTAGAAAATGTACTTCTGTTTCTTCTCCTTCCTGTCAGAACTGATATTCTTAATGGGAGAGCAAAGAAGGCCAGAGAGGGCAGTCAATCACATCCTATGACTTACGGAGTTTCCCTAGTAGAACAGAGACCTTTATCATGAAAAGAATTGGATGGAAAATGATGTTTTTCCAGAACTTAGAGAAAATGTGGTTTCCGTTCTCCAAGCGTTTTACAACGTGTGTTATAATTGATGTTGGTGAAGTGCTGCCGGTGACTGCGGCCATGAACATGTGAGGTGGGGGTACCTGAAAAGTCTAACATGGAGACGCACAGCCCTCAGATGAGAACTGGCGTCTCGTCTCCTTGGCGCCGAGTGTGCACTGAACTGCCGACTTCAACTTTCCCAGGAGCTTCTGCTCCACCACTGGGCTTCTTGGCACAGAGCACGTGCATCTCCATGTAAGCAGTGTATCTGGAACTGTGCCCTGATAAACCACCCTTGTGACTCTTCCCTTTACTTCCCCTGTCCCCTCATATAAAGGCCCAGGTTCCTGTTTTTGAAACTCTGTGATAGTTGAACGTAGGGCATAAAATCCTGCTAATTTTCACTCCCAATTTAACAACAATGTGACTTGAACCGGTTGGCAATCAAGGTTGGTCAGGATTTCCTGGCAGTAAACACTCAAGGACAGAGCAAGGAATCAGCACCCCACCAGCATGCCAAACCATTCCAAGGCGCTGGTGGTGGGTTTTCTGTTTTGTTTTGCTTAGTCTTTTAAGCCATCTGAAAACCTGGTGTGCTGGCAGGGACTCCTGGGTATTGACATGCAAATGATTAACAGGTGGTGGTCTTTGTTTTTGATAGCCACAGCTGATTAGGCTGTTTTCACTCTGTTTTTGAAACCAGCAGTCTTTCAGCCCCACGTGGATCTGTGAAACTCTAGCACAGTGCTTCTCCACCTTCCTCCTGCCAAGATCCTTTCATACAGGTCCTCGTGTGGTGCTGACCCCCAAGCATAAAATGATTTTCGTTGCTACTTTCTAACTGTCATTTTGCTACTGTTATGAATTGTCATGTAAATATCTGATATGCAGGATGTGTTTTCATTGTTACAAATTGAATATCATTAAAGCATAGTGGTTCATCACAAAACAGTAAGTCATTATATAATGTGAAATATTTATTTCTAATGACAAATAAACGAATTGTATCTGGAAGCATGGTGTAGCATCATGGGTAACAGTCTTCATGCTGGATACTTGTATGTGGGCAGATCTGCACGTGGGCGGACCTGCCTGGAGACGGAGAGAGGAGCAGTGTCTTGGGTCCTAAGACCATCGGAAATATGTGTTTTACCCATGGTCTTAGGCAACCCCTGTGAAAGAAAGGGTCATTCAACTCCCAAAGGGGTCATGACCCACAGGTTGAGAACCGCTGCTCTAGGCAGAATCACCAGACTCCCTCAACCTGGAGATTGATCTTTGCAACCAATTTACCAATTTTGATCTAGTACTTAACATGTTCTTTTTGTTTGCATCTCACACTGGGGCCTCCCCATCCTAAACCTAGTGTCCGACCTGCTTTCCTAAGAGCTATCCTCTGAAAACGTCGGTGGGACTGGGAAGTTTTCTGGAATCATGTCAACGGCCACATCACACGCAACTCCACTTCCATGTCTGCCTTTCCACAGAGCAAAGAGAAGGCCCACAGGTTCGATTAGCTTGGACAGCACCTGCCCTGATAGCAGGGATTCTGTCATCTTCGGATTGTGTCGTCATGATTTTGCATCGCATCAGGGGTGAACAACGGCCCTCCAATTGCTGGATGAGCATGCCTCCTTCCCTGGGAAAGCAAGCATTGCTCTCATCCAGGTTATTCTCAGGGAGGGACTCTGGTTCTCTGAGTCCTGAGATGTACATTAGTGAGGCCTTCTTTGACAAAAGGAGTGCTGGTGGTGCGGCAGGTTAAGCACTGGGGATTGCTAGCCACAGGCGGGTGGGTCAAGCCCACTAGCTACTCCCAGGGAGA